CTGTGGGTGGGGGAAGAGCTGTAACATTCGAGGGGTCTCAACCCCACAAAGCCCCGACATCTCAGTGTGGTCAGGCTTTTCTAGCAACAGTTATTTCCAGGGCATGAGCAAGGTTTGCTCCTTGCAGAGTAGCCTTCTACCAAACAAAGTCTCCATCCTACCCATATCCCCATGGACTCAGGTGCGGCGAACCTCTTCCAGCTTAACGGAAGGCACAACTTCACCCAGGAGAGTAAGCCCTGCATGTTTTATCTCTGGCAACATGTGTTTTCGGGCCACCAGTGTCTTGTGCCCACTGCTCAGATGAGGGCTTTGCTTAGAGTCACAGCAGGCATCATATGCCCAAGCTGACACCACATCCTCTCCCATCGAGGGGACACTGGCATCCACTGTCTTACCTCTTCCTCCAACACTAACAATTTGTTACTGGCTCTTTCAGGCTCCAGCCACAGTTTGTTATGCAGCTCCAGCCAAGCAGAAACGCTGCTCAGCTATCCCTGAGATGGGGAGCAGGGGACTGTGGTCTCACTAGGAGGGGTGGGGGACCCTCTCCACTTACCAAAGTTATCCTGATCCCAGCTGTAAGTGTAGCAGCGAGCAGTGGGGATGGGGATGGTGTGGAGCTTGCGGGGCTGAGCCTCACCTGGGAAGAGAGGAGGGAGAGGAATTAGCTTGCAGGGACCCCAATAGTGCTCATGACAGGTCTCCTGGCCAGTGGGAGATGCCACCCACCCCACGCACATGCTTTGGGCAGCCCAGGTCATGCAGAACAGTGATGCTGCTGTTGTTATCCCCATGAAGTCACATGCAATTGGGTCAAGGGGACATTTCACATCTCTAAGAGCCATCAGACATCACTGCTACCACTGTTTTCTGATTTATTGTTTTCATCTCGCCCACTAAGGCTGGAGAATGTTTTTTTTGTTGCTCTTTTAATGAAAGATGACAAACCATTTCTGGCTCATTGCACGGTTATGAAACAGGACCTGGGCTGGTGGGTTTTTTGTTGTAGTTGTTGTACCAGGTTGAAACTTTGTGCCAAACTGCTTGTCACTGCTGCAGGGGCCAAGCCAGCAGAAAACCACGGAGCGAAGAGGGGCACAGGGGCGTTTCTCACCTGTGATGGCAGGGAAGGACGCGGCCCCAGCGATGTCCCGCAGCACAGACTGCAGCTGCTCCCGGGCCAGGACAGGGTCACTGCTGGTGGCTGCAATCTCCTGCGCGTCAGTGGCACTGGCATAGATCTCCAAGAGCTCTTCCAGCGTCTTGGACTGTGGGGGGAGCAGAGTCAAGGCAAGAGACTGAGGGCATCCCTCCACAAAGGCCACACACAGGTCTTTGGGCAGGATCACTAACTACCACTGGGTAACTCTCTCCCTCCACTACCTCCTACCACCTTCAAGTGGCCCAAAACTTTTGCAAAGAAAAAACCGTATGTGTTTGAAAACACCAAAGGGGTTTTGTTCACAATTTTTTGCCCCTCCCCCTCAAACACCAAAGCAAAGTGTTTCTCTGGTTAAATGAACACTTTTGCTGCGTTTCAAATCTGGGGACACTTCCTCTCTCCACTCAGGGATGGAGAAAGCAGTAAAGGGTAAAAGGTGAGTAATGCCCACACACAGACTTCACAAAACACAAGTGTAGACCTCAGGTCTAACCTGAGAAGAGAAAGGAACGATGCGTATTTTTCCTGCAGGAAATGTTACCAAAATTTCTTCCTTTGTCAATCAAGTATTATTGTGGTCAGGAAATTCACCATCCAACAGCACGAAACTGCTCCCAACAGCATCGTGGCATCACTGAAGCTGAAGCCCTCTGAGCCTACCTTCAGGAGGTGATGCAGGCTGTCCAGGTCGCAGTGGGTGCCGAAGTTGGCCTGGTAGAGGTGCTCCAGGAGCACGACGAGCGTGGTGTGCTGCGGGTGCTCGCTGGTGCTCAGCTTCTGGGCGATGGAGAGGAACTCGCTCTGCACCTCGGAGCGGTTGAGCAGCAGCACCGTCCTGGGGACAACAGGACAGCAGTTAGGCCGGACAGCCAGGCTCGGACACTGGTGGCACACAAAACTCTTGGACAAATTCACACTAGATGGCAGCGTCCCCTCAAGTTGGTCACAGCCAGAGGGTCTTGGGGCTATGCAGGGGTGCCAGACCCAGGCTGCAGTGCCAGCTGTGGGCAGGGAGCAGGTAACAGATAAGCATCCTCCATCCTGCTCTTCAGCACCATCCTTGGCACCATCTCTTCTGCCACATCTGCGATATCACCAGCCCAATAATTGTTCCATCAACCTCAGACAGGGCTCCGGCCCAGCATCCAGTTGTCTTAACTGGACACCCACCACATGCAATGAAGGGGGGCCTGGAGCATAGAAAATGAGAATGGCCCCCAAAACATATTCCCCCTGCAAGATGCAGGTCAGAGCATCACTTCTGGGCTTTAAGGAGCAGAGCTACATCCTTCAGCTGCAATTTTTTTTGTCTGGACCACAACATGAATACCCACAGGCTTTGAGTTCCCAAAGCTGCAGCCCAGAGAGCAAGTGCTCCCATTCATGGAGAAGAGCAGCCCACCTCACTGAGCAAAAATGGCTCTGAATTAAGGATGTGCTCTGGTGTGTTTGGTTCCAGAAAGTTCAGGCAATGGTCACAAGCTTTCAATAAGCCCAAGGTTCAGCTTGTGTACAGCTTTCTGCCAGGTTTTCAGGGCTTTCTATGCAAATATAGCCATCCTGCTGTAAGTCATCAGCGGCCGTGCTTGCACCAATATAAATCTGTAGAGCTGTACTGAGAAAGAAACACAACAGCACCAGCACAGATGAGCGGGATACAGGTGCAGATCCAGAGCTGCACAGCATGAGTGGACAAGCCAAAACAGCAGGACACGCCTCCTGCAGAGTGGCGGTGGTTGTGCATGAAGGACTGTCCCTGGGGCTGTGGCTGGCACTGCCACCAGGAAGGGCACACGCCACCCGGGCTCATTTTCCTATTTACGAATAAGGTGCCCTGGCAAGAGGAAAGGTTCAGCCCTCGAATAAGGTGCAAAGCCTGACTGCACTCAGAGCTGCAAGGCTTTCATTAATTGCTGCACTGGGATGGACTCTCTTCTGATCCCCCCTCAGGGTGGTGGGCATCCCAAACACATAGATCGAAGTGTCTCCTGGCTGTTCTCCGATGTGTGCAGAGATCAGCAGCTCCCTGTTGAGGAGATCTCGCCTTCCCCGGCTGCTTTCACCCAGATCTGCAGCCCTGCAGTGAGCTGGACTGCAGGATAACCAACATGGGGAGCCCATAGACCCCGACCCACAGCTGTGGAAACGCCACAGCCACTTCCCTCATCCCTTTGGACAGCCCAGCCCAGCTATCCAGCTCTTCTTCCCAACACCCACCACTACACCTTCAAGATGCTGCTCACTGCACCCCTGCTGCTGCTTAAGCAGTGTGAGACTGTGGGGATGCTACAGAGGGGCACCAGCAGCACCCATGGCCACACTTACACGGTGGAGCTCTGGTAGTTCTTCACAGGCAGCCCCTGCTCTGTCCTCACCAGCCTCTGGAAAGAGATCCCTGGGAGAGAGAGCAGAAGACATGAGACACAGCACCACTACACACTGCTCTACCTCAGGAGCACATTGACTTTGTCTGCTCTGGCGGTGCTGATTTGGCTGAGCCGCTGCCTGGAGCGGGCATGGCAGCACCAAAAGCCCTTATGGCAACAGGGCACAGCCACTGTGTAAGGGGACCAGCCCCGGAGTAAGGGAGCCTTGGGATGTAAAGGGTGAAAGCCCAGTGTGATGGGAAAGCGACCAAAGAATGGTACAGGAGAGCTGCTCCATCCCTAGTCCCTTCTGCCCCACTGCTGATGGGGGACATGAATTACACGGATGATATTTAGCAGCTTC